CCTCTTCTCCCAGGGGCCACCCTCAGGTCCCACCCTCCCTTCCATGCAGACCCTGCGGCAGCACTGGACACACTCTCCTGGGACACGGAGCGCCATGACCAAGTCTGCCAGGCGAGGGACTCCGAGGAGCGCCCCGTAAAGCCCGCCTATGCTACGCGAAGTCACACACACGGAGCGGCCGATCTGCATACTAAATGCTGTACTGGGCAAGGCTGGACCTGGAAGTCAGGTTTTTACACGGTAGTTATCTAACCAAATCCTACATTTCAGCTAAAAAAGGCCCCGGAGACCCAACGGATGCCCAGGGCGTCCTTCACGTTACTCAGAGACGTGCTGAGATTTGGGCCGTGTCCACTGGGCTGAGCAGAGGCAACAAAGGTGGTGGTCTCGCCTCTTCTCTGCCAGTCCTGAGGCTGTGCTGAGGCCAGCATCCACGGGCCCAAGCCTGGTGGGCCAGAAAAGAGAAAAATCACCAACGGGGAAAAAAATTCCTCTCATCCAACCTATAAATTTAAGCCCTCAACTACCACAAACGTTACAAACTTACGTACCTTGATTTGATCCCAACCATAAGCTTATCATATATTATAAAATAAAAATGTAGTTCAGGTAGAGATAAAGGCTAAAAACAAAAGCACCCCTGGTTGTGTGCTCCCACAGGGCACAGCTCTGGGGAATTTACACTTTCAGAAATCCCAAGGCCCAGTGCAAAAAGGCAGGGAAAAACCCACTTTGTATCAGGGTGGGGTATTGCTTTGATGGAGGATGGAGGGTCAGAAAATTCTTTTGTTTCCTATTTTATTACATCAATGGCTTGAAAATTTTTATTTAACTTCAGCAAATATTGGAAATAGAAAAATGAATTCTGCAGAATTTCACAAATAAAATTTTCAATCTCTACTAACAAATGTTATCATTCGATGGCTAAGCAATTATAATGCTATGAACATTCACCACAATGAATGTGCTGAAATAGAAAACAGGCAAAAAGAGACATTAAAATTACTTACAACAGCATTATTACAACATATTTTCTTTAAAATTCCAACATGGATTTTTATCACTTCAAAAGATATACAGCATTTCCATTATATTTGCAAACTTAACCTTATACATCTTTTAAAATCTTGAAAAATTCTTAAGCAGTCTAAAAAGCACTTAGCAAAGTTGGTAAGTCTACGTAATGGAATACTATCCGCTCCAGTATCAACGTGAGCTTAGGAGAGGGCTGTAAACACTCAGTACCACACAGCATGCATAGGCTATACTGACCTTCCTTCTGCTGCACTGCGACGTTACTGCGCTTGTGCTTTACTGTAAGTAGGGAA